CCGTACTGCAAAAAGTGAGAACTCTGGTTCTGAAGAGAACATAGTGTGGTTGAACAACTATTTGATTAAAAAAAAAAATTAGTGCAAGTGTGAACCATGGACTACCCCAACAGAAATGTGGCCAATTTGAACTGAAGGCGATAGACAGGATGAAGTGAAGGAAAGCTGTCAGATTTCTTGCATCACATAGGACTGGACTATAGGGCTACTCAGCTGTGAATGTCCGCTACTGTTCAAGAATGACCTCAAAGGAGATTTGGAGATCATCAAGGCTGCCTCCTTGGTTTCTTAGGGCATGGCCTAGGTTTCAACAGGACAGGTGTCCTCTGCCCACTGCCCTGGGGACAGGGTCCCCTGGAACCTTGGTGGGTGACTCTCCCCCCACAGAGCAATGGAGGTAGAATTGCCACTCAAGTGGGTCCAGGGGTGGGGCATCAAACCAGAGAGGATTATTCTAGATCCTTGAGATCTAATGGAATTTGCCTTCCTAGGTTTTAGACAGCATTGCTAGGCCCCTGCATCCTTCCTTTCTTCCAATTTCTCCTTTTTGAAACGCGAACATCTCATCCAATGCCTGTACTTGGGAAGCACTTATCTTGTCTGGTTTCACAGGTTCACAGCTGGAAAGAAATTTTGCCTCAGGATAAATCACATCTGGAGTCTCATCCATATCTGATTTCGATGATATTTAGATGAGAGTCTGGCCTTTAGAGTTGATTCTGGAACAAGTCAAGGCTTTTGGGGCTGTTGGAATGGAATGAATATATTTTGTATGTGAGGACAGGAATTTGGGGGGCCAGGGAAAGAATGTTATGAACTAAGTATCTGTATCCCCCAAATTCATATACTGAAGCCTTAATCCCCAATGTAATAGAGTTTGGAGGCCTGGTCTTTAGGAGGTAATTAGAAGTAGATGAGGTCGTGAGGGTCGGTCCCCCATTCTCAGAAGAAAAGGCAAAAGGAAGAAATACCAGAGCTCCTTCTTTTTCTCTGCCACCTGAGCACACAAGGAGATGATGATCATCTGAGAACCAGGAAGGGGACCCTTACTGGCAACAGAATCTGCCAGCACCTTGATCTTGGGCTTCCCAGCTTCCAAAACTGTGAGAAATATCTATTGTTGAAGCCGCTCAGTCTATGCTACTTTGCTATAGCAGCCTGAGCTAAAACATTACCTTATTCTAAATCAGTTAAAAATTGAGGCAGGGAAGAGGAATATTATTTATCAGGCCCCCTTGAATTCCAGTAATACAAAGAGAATTGTGTAGGCTCCTCTCCTCTGCAAATTCATGGACAATTCATGCTACACACAGTGGAAAATCCATGAACTGGGACAATGCTATTGCCTCCCCCACACTGGTTCTTCTTTCACCAGTAGGGACTGGTATGATGCAGATAACCTTTTGGACAGAACCATGTCCATCAGTATTCAGAACATTCTGAAATTTTCTTAAATGCTGGGTCAGGACAGCCAAGTTCCTTTCCTACTACTCGCTTCTCCTGGCTGTCAAGCTTCGAGAGGAAGGACAGCACTCATCCACTATCTCCAGCTTATTTTCTGGTCCATATGGATGTATGGACCTAGACTGGGGCAAAGGGTACCCAAAGAGATGCTTTGAGTCCCCTGCAGGCTCTACCTTGTTTCATTTTGCTATATGAATTCAGGCAAGTAGCTTAACCTAGTGTAGCCTCAGTTTTCTCATCTGTAAAATAGAACACTCTCTGGCCCACCATCCTCACAGGGTTTGAGGATGGAAATCAAAATTAAAATATTGAATGAGCTAATATATGGGAAAGTAAGCTTTCTATTCTAAAAATATGTATTATCTTTATTACTGATGGGAATTCCACACAGCCTTGTGAAGCAATACCTATTACAACAATCATCTAAGTGGGAGAGACCCTGGCTGGATTCTTAAAAGTACTGGTATGAATTCAACACAAAGCGGATTTTATTTAGAGCATAAATTGGATTTCAACTTGTAAAGGAAAGCATGAGATAATGTTTTTGTCTTAATTTGACAGTGGAAATGCTCTTGAGTATTGGCCAAGAATCTAATATTGGATTGTACCAAAACACACCATTTGCTTCCTGAATTGTATCCATAAAGCTCTCACAGTAAAATGCTGCCTCTGACTGAGCATTTACCAAGATTGCAAGTCTTCACATTCAGGTTCTAGAAAATACCCATCTCTTGTCTTTTCTATTCAACATACCCTCGACTCTGCAATTCAGATACAATTTGAGGTCCTGCTCCTATTGAAACTTCTCAGGTAAGCTTCACAATTTTTATCTTTCAAGATCAATGTGTAGGCTGCTCAGCTCAAACCTTGACCCATAATCAGCAACTCTCTCCTGCTTGCTTTCCTAAGATTAATACATGCTAAAGCTCTTATTTCAAGAAACTAGAGAATTTGAAGAATTATGTGGACAGGCTTAAGAAAAATGACATTAATCTTGAAGATTAATTCAATATTTAGCTGACTCAATTTAAATTATCACTGGTTTTTATCCTATAAATTACAAATTTAACAAAAAAATTAACTATTGATGGTATGAACAATTTTCACTGTATTTTAGAAGCAACTTATTTAAAGAAAAACAGTAATTCAGCTAGTCTTACATCAGCGGATTTAAACACTTCCTGAGATCTTTTTCAGGTTCATGAGAACTGAAAATTTTAAGACTAACCATTTTCTAACACCATTCTCCCAAACACTTTAAAAATGTTTTAGCAATAGTTTTGAAAACAACAATGAAACTTAAGCTGCAGAATTTCTTAATCCTTAAACAGGCTGCTGCACTATCTCCATGGTTTTCTTTATAGAGATTGAGGTAAAAATCCTGCAAGACATATTTGAGATAAAAGGATTTTTAGAGTGTACTGTAGCTTTCTAAAACCTTCCTTGCTTATTAAATTATGTGCGAGTAGTAAACTGATAAAAAGCCAGTCTGTGCCCTCCCTAAAAAGTACAAAAACTAATTAGCATTCCTTTCTGCTAGTGCTTTTTTGTTTAAAAATATAATTTTTTAGGAAGTTTTTGTTGTTGTTGGTTTGCTCTGCCTGCTTTCAACAAGCAACCGGAGCCTTGGGTTGTCTAGTGATTCTCTGTCCGATGATATCCGTCAGCTTCCTTTTTTGGTTTTACTGTCCTGTCAGACCCCAGGCTCCTCAGAGCGCAGGAGAAGTTCCTTTCGGATCCCGCACGCCTATTCCAGTCCCCTAAAAACCCATCTGCCGGCTGAACGTTTGCTGTTCTGGAGAAAGGCAATTCCTGCAGTTTTACCCGGCTGGCGTCAAGCGCGCACTACTTTTTCTTAACTTACTGAGAAAGAAAGTTAATATTCGGGATGAGGGACTCGAAAGCAGCGATGAGCAAGGGATTAACCACCCGCGCCCTGCGCTGTGATGTGTGAATGTAACCGCTCAACAAGTTTGCGCTCGGCGCCGGCCAGGTGCCCGGACTTCAGCGGTGCAGGCGGGAGACCGGCCCGGGCCCGCGCGGAGACGCGCTCGCGCCGCGCGCTCTGCCGCGGAACCAGCCC